AGGAAATAGGCATAAAAAACATATAGACAAACACAAGCATGAGATGACATTATAGCATTCGTCCACATCTTCAAACAATCAATTTCATCTAACTACATAAAAGAGAAGGAAGGTACCACTATTCTAACTACAATATCTCCTTAGCTGCTACAAAGACTAAACTATCACTCACATATAGTGTACATAGAATTTATGTGTTTTTACAGCCTTACTAAACTAATGAGTCATGCCCTCTGTTTATAGAGGGAGAACCCGTTCTAAAACGTCCTAAATCGACTAAGAAAGAGTCTACTTCTCCTTGTGGGCTAAGTAAACTTCCCTAACAAGGATAGGGTATGGCGGCAGTAGCGCGATGATCGACACCACCGCTCTTTTTCTTCGTGGGTTGTGCTCCTTTGACCTTGGACGATTGCTCCTTTCAATTTGGGCACGGTCTGACATATCCTGCATATAGGCTATTGGACCCGTTGTTAGGCATCCACTCGTTCTATCTTCAGCTTGGGCTGAGCCTTCCTCCTATGGGCTTGTCTTAACTTTATTAAGTGACTTCTAGTTGACTTCTCCATCATTGGACCTCCTCTTTCTTATGAAAGCTCCATAATCTTTCTTATATAACTCCTTTGATCCTCCAGAGTTCTCTAATGCTTGATCCAATCTTACTTAGGTTGTTTGGTACCTTTAAAACCATAAAAAAAACATACCCTGAAGGCATCAAAGAGTACAAGAACATAACCTAGGTCCATTAAAGGTTAATTGATCAAATAGTTGTGATTTGGATATGAAATACTATTGAAATAACCAAAGTTGCTTTGTTAGAATAGGAAAATGTATTGAGAATGTGAGTGACAAACACTATAAATAAAAAGTCATCATCTTTCTTTTTGATTTCCATGTTTTGTTTATTTTAGATTCGATTGTGTACGTAAGACAAGGATTATCTTCAACAAATAAAATCCTCCTATTCGACTTTGTGGATGGATGAGACTGAAAACAACAGTCATTCACAATCGATTACCAATTAATTGAACTGCTCAAACTTCCTCAAGGGATAAATCAATAGGATTACCATCATTGCCTACTAGATCTGGTAAATGTCATGTCATATGGTAGGAATAAACCCAGTAAGAGTAAAAATATCATATTTATCTAGAATCAATCATTTATTCTTGGTTGCATGTAGGAGTGTTTCTTCGAATTCGGCTTACTTTACTACAAACTTGAATCTTATTGTTCTAATTTGGGAACGAGAGATTGAATGGTTGATTCGGGCAAAATTACACATGTTTTACCCCTTCATAACTTGATTGTTTGACTTGGTAATCTTCGCTCCTCGACCTATTTTACGCTAGCTTGTGTTCTTTTTGACATATTTCAGGTCCTAGCACGTGTGGAAGGATCAAGAAAGAGTTTCGGGATGAATGGAGGTTAAAAAGCGCCAACTGTGAAGAAATGACAAAGATCACGGGTTGGGGGTGAATATCATGGTCAATCGACCGTGAAGATAGCACCCAAGCCATGAATTCTGCATGGTTCTAGAGAGCATTGGACATCCCACGGACAGATACATTGTCACAGTTACAGACCGTGATCTTTGCAAGGAGACCGTGAAGATGGGGAAAAGGATTGTGTCTTTGGTTGAGATCACGACCAGGTTGTTGAGATCATGGTCGTTCCCAGACCGTGAAAACTGCACTCGGGCTATATAAAAAGGCAGCAGCTAGAAGAGAGAAATGAGGCTTTGGTTGAGTTTGAAATTTTAGGGTTCTTCTTTGGGGTTCTGACACAAAATGCCCAAAGGGGCATTTCTAGAGAGAGAGAGAGAGAGAGAGAAATCTTAAGTGATGTTGGAGCTTAATTGGAGGCTTGAGTTGATCTTGGAATCAAGGATTCAAGCCTGGAAGATGAAGAGCTTGAGCTATTTTGTAATATCTCCCTTCTCTCTATGAATTAGACCTCTTCTCTTAGGTTGATGAACCCGAGGTCTAGATTTTGGTTTGATGTTCATGTATGTGACAAATTCTATGTTTGATTGACCATTTTATTTAGTTGATGGATGGTTTTTATGGATTGCGTGAGTTTGGATTTCGTTTCATGTCAATTGAGCTTTGATCTATGAGGGAGAGAATCCTCTTAGAGCTCATTATTGGCGTCTTGGAGTCACTCATATCATATGTCATGCCGGGTAATCTATGAGGGCGACGATTTGGTCGATTTCTTGACAAATATGAATCCCTAGGTTGAATAGAGCACTATCATTCACCGTATGTCATTCTGGGTCAATACTCGAGGGAGTCTAGCACCTAAATGGTAGATGAATTGAGTCGATCGAGCTAGGATAGTACTCAATATCGGCCTAATGATAGAACTAGGGGGATTCAAGCTAAGAGAGGTTAGTTAGTTTAATCACTATTCTAGGTTTACTGGATAACAAAACGTAACCCGAAGTAAGGTACATCTAGAGAACCGTGGTTTGATATGTCTATTGCTTGCTTACCTATGTTACCCCCAGTCGTAGTTTATGCTTGGTCATTGATTGGTATGTGTAGTTAGGGTCGAGTCAATGGTGAATAACATAAAAGGGTTTATGAGGGAAATAAGGCATTTATAGAGAGCTAACCAAATTACCGAATGTTGGTGTGAATTTCTAGGTGTACTGAAATATTTTTTCAAATCTTCAACGATAAATTCAATAGATCATATATCATTTGCTTTACATCGGATTTAAGATTTTTTGCGTAGAAATATCAGATTTTTTGCGCTCGATAAGATGATATTCATTTAAATATTTTATGAACAAAAAAATTTAATGTAATCTTACCTTGCAATATCATGATATTTTTATTACCACTAACAGTGGTATGAAACTGCTGTTAATCTTACCATAGTGGTTAGATCAAGATATAACTGTTGAGATGATATTGTGAAATCTTAATACAGTGATATAATATTGGTATGATGTGGATATAATGTTGATATGATATATTATGTTGGACAAAATAATCTTATGAAATCATACTAGTGTCACATAACTATATTATTACTAGACTATAATAGTAATATCATAATATCACAATGGCATGATATTGATACGATAATGATTATATGATGTTAGTATCTTGTCTTATATTTAACAAAAGATATAATACCACATCTTAACCTCTCATTAGTACGCCCCAATTTAAATTCCATTATCGAATTATAAAATTCATTTAATTAAAAATAATAACCAATGATTTTGGTTCGTAAAAGTATATTAAAATGCATCTTATAAACAGATAGAAATATATATATATAGAGACTAGATACTATAACAACACTCCTTGTGTTGTTATTGTAACAACACTAGTCTCCAACCAATAGGAAGCTAGGGTTGTGATGACTTTTTATTAAATGAGTTGACCTAGTGTAAAATCAAAGCAGGGGTATAATTGTCATTATGAAAAATATGTTTAAATAATAAAAAAATAAAAAAATATTTTTTTATTTTTCCGGCCCAAAATTTTGGTCGCCGGAATTCTGTCGCCGAAAAATGGTCGTCGGTCACCAGAATATGTTTTTCGTCGCCGGAATATGCTATTTTGTCATCGGAATATGCCACCGTCGCCAGAATATGCTCACCGTGGTCGGAATATGCTTACCGGCGTCGGAATCTAGTCATCGGGGCTGGAATCTGGTAACTGACGGTCATCGGAGTTTGGTCAACGATTTTCGTTGACCGGTCAACGGCCAACGACCACCGGATGTTATGGTCTGCATTGTGAGATTTATGGTTTGGTTTCTCATATTTTTGTATGCCGTTTGTGGTTTGCTTTATCGTGTTTGTGGTTTGCATTGAGAAGTTTCTGGTTTGCTTTATCGTGTTTGTGGTTTGCATTGAGAAGTTTCTGGTTTGCTTTCAAAAACTTTGTGGTTTGCATTGAGGCGTTCTGGTTTGTTTTAATATATTTGAGGTCTGCATTAGGACGTTTATGGTTTGTTTTTTTGTGGTTTGATTTACCGTGTTTGTGGTTTGCATTAGGAGATTTCTGGTTTGCTTTCGCAAATGTTGTGGTTTGCTTTGTGAGGTTTGTGGTTTGTTTTAGGGGATTTGTGGTATGCATTAGGAGGTTTCTGGTTTGTTTTTTTGTGGTTTTTTTATCACGTTTGTGGTGTGCATTAGGATGTTTCTGGTGTGCTTATGAAAGATTTGTGGTTTGCTTTACCGTGTTTGTGATTTGCATTAGGAGGTTTTTGGTGTGTTTTCGCAAATGTTGTGGTTTGCTTTGTAAGACTTGTGGTTTGTTTTAGGGAATTTGTGGTATGCATTAGGAGGTTTCTGATTTGCTTTTTTGTGGTTTTTTTTTATCACGATTGTGGTTTGCATTAGAAGATTTCTGGTGTGTTTATTAAATACTAGTGATCTGCATACCGATAACTCCTAAATGCATACAATAAACACAATAATACACTAAAGTACATTAAAAAACTCTTTCACAATGATTCATAGTCTCTCGAACAAGCTTTACATGTTAGAAAAAAGAATCAACCCATGATGATGCAATTACGTTAGGTACACATGATGATGCAAAAACTGATAGGCTCCGAAAAAGATGGACTTCTATGTCCCATTCCTCAATACCTTTTGTACTCTGCTTCAATTGCTTTCCATGGTGGTAGTCTGGTAAGGAACCTCTCTCATATGCCATTCACTCTAGCTGCATATCATTAGATAATCTGCGTTTTTTTACTTTGATATTCATTTGTAGCTTGGTTAATTGCAGGTCCCCTATCTTGACGAAGAAACTGGCTGGGGCTTGGAAGTTTCTGAACTTAAGAAGCAATTAAAGGAAGCTAGGTCAAAGGGTATCACTGTCAAGGCTCTGGTTGTTATAAATCCAGGCAACCCAACTGGACAGGTGAGGGTTTGCCTACATTTTAACAACCAAGATCGTCCTTTGCTGCTGCTTTTTAGATTGAGAACTCGAGAAACTCTAAACCACGAAGATCGCTGCATTTAACAATCAAAAGTGTCCATTATTAGAAAACCAGAACAACACAAGAGTGAGCGCACCGCACCACTGAATCTCCCCCAAATTCAAAAACCTCATAATCGAATAAGATCTAGACACCAATTTCAGAATCTCCTCGAACTCCAGCTCGTCGCAGGGGATCCGCAGCGGGCCGGCGTTGGCGAAACCGAACTCCTCCTCGGCCTGAGCCAGGATGCGATTGAAGATCGGATGGTTCATGTGCGTCGCCCGGACGACGAATCTCCGACAGCTCCTGCCGATGCAGACGACGACGTGGCATAAACAGGAAGAGAGGAAGCGAGGAGCAGAGCAGGATTTGTACGGCAGGGATATGGAGTTCTTACGCCCAGGAGCGAGTCGTGACGAAGAGTACCGCCGCAGAGCAGGATTTTGGCGCTGCCACTGGACTGCATATTCCCCTCGACGAACTGTTAGCAGCCGATGACAGCGGTGGTTGCGGAGCGCTGGACTGAGATAGAACGGCGGCGTTGCAGAGCAGGAGAGTCAGAGTTTGGGTGACGCCGTTGGACTTCACCCGACGACGACTGTGGTCGCGATGCTCTGAACGGAGATAGAAAGGCGAAGTTGCCAGAGATCTGGAAGAAAGAGGAAGAGAAGGGATAAAGAAGACGAGAGATCTGAAAGGGTTGGGATATTTGTTTATTTTATTTTAATTTTTAATTTATTACTTTTAGTGAGTTCTCGTTTTTACCCCTGGTGTTGTTATAGAGGCGTACTATTTGCCGCCCGTGTAATTGCTATTTACCGCCCGTAAATTTAGTAAAAATGTCGTTTTTATCCCTCGTCCATTTTTTCATAACACAAATCCTCATCCACCAACTTGCTAAAAAAAATCTCACCATCAGCAGGCCACCACCACCGTCAGCGTCTGACCACCGCCTCCACCGTCTGATCCAGTCCCGCCGGTCCGACACGTCCGACCCCGACAGGCGGACGCCGTCCGACCCCGACAGGCGGACGCCGTCCGACCCCGACAGGCGGACGCCGTTCGACCACGACGGGCGGACGGATAGAAAAAAAAAAAGAGCCGGACATTGACGACGATTCCTTCCACAACGGCGGTGATTTCTTTCCCAGCCGAACCTCTTCCCATTTTTTTTTTGTTTGTAAAAACTTCTTCACAATTTCACGGTTGAAACTCTATTACGAAAATAATGGTGGATGATTGCGGGGAGATATATTGGGAATATAATAAGGAAAGTTTATTAATAATTGACAATTCTAAACATTAATCTCGTTATTAATTAAGGAATTTAATTTAATATAATGACTAATCACTAATCAGACGTGGGTCGTTGGGAAGGATTGAAGGAACCCATTACTCGTGGTAATGGGGCAGGAATCACGGGCTCAAGATAGGGTGCATAACCATGGGTTATGCACCCATCAATAACCAAATCTGGACCCTTCATTTAGAAAATCCAGATCTAAGGATGGAGAATTAAAGACTATTTTTATTTTCACTAGCTTTCTTAATTGACTCATATCTTTTTCGTTTTAACTCGGATTTTAATTTTTTTTGCACAGATGGAACGAATTCACCGTGCTCTTCAAAATGAGATCAATTTTCAATAGTTTTTTAGGAAAAAAAAATTCTGGCCTCTCGGTACCAACTGCATACCATATGGTATCTTCTTCATTTTTAATTCGTTTTTGAAAACGTTTGCACAACAGGGATGAGTTCATCATGATCTACCGGATCTACAAATTTCTGGGTGAACAAATTACAGGACAAAAAAATACCACACAATACCATACAATACCACCCTGGTACGGGGTAGTATTGTATGGTATCTTCTTCGTTTTTAATTCGTTTTTGAAAACGTTTGCACAGAAGGGACGAGTTCATCATGATTTATTGGATCTAAAAATTTCTGGGTGAACAAATTACAGGACCAAAAAATACCACACAATACCATACAATACCACCCTGGTACGAGGTGGTATTGTGTGGTATACAATGTTAAAAGTAGTAAATTACAATTAATATACTTCTACTATCATGTATTCAACCATCCTACAGTATTGGTTTGTTCATACCACCATGGTACGTTTTTCAAAACATAGGTATGCTTTTATTTCAATACCAGTCAATACCATATGGTATAGGCTGGTAAAAAATGGCTCAATTTTTTTTGTTCGAAAAATATATTAAAGTGGATATCATTTTGAAGAGCACAATTAATCTGATCTAACTGTGCAAAAAAAAATTAAATTTCGACTTAAAATGAGCGAGAAATCGTCCGTCAAAGATTAAAGAGGGAAAAATTAAAGGCTTTCCATGAGAGAGAAGATGCTGATGTCATGCTGATGTGGACGGGTTACTCATGGTTACTCACCATAAGGGGGCTAAGATCAGGTGACTAAGGGGGTACCCTTAGTCACTTGGCTAAGTCAATCTGAGCCTTCCATGCTCATTAAAATCCTAAGGCTACAATTAATTCATTTTAAGGAAGGACAACATAGTAATTGCATGTTTAATATTTATTTTTAATTATAAAATGAATATAAAAAAAATCAGCTGTCCATGTCGGCGCCGCCTCCTTTCTCCGTCCAATTTCCGGCCCCGTCCCTTGCGCCGCCTCCGTCCAATTTCCGGGCAAAAAAATTCTGGGCAGGAGAATTCTTCTCCATCCGCCATTATTGCAGGGCAATTGCCCCAGACTCTCTCTCCATCGGCCATTATCATTATTCCACTGGAATTCCGAGAGAGAGAGAGAGAGAGAGAGAGAGAGAGAGAGAGAGAGAGAGAGAGAGAGAGCTTTTCCGGCGACGGCGGAGCAATTTTCCGGCGACCAGAGACGGTGGTGGATGGTTTTCCGACAACAGTATTTGAGTTCGTGATGTTTGTAATGTTTATATTACTATTTTGTATACATTGTAATGTTTGTAATGTTTGTTTGTCTAGTTTGTATACTTTATGTTATGATTTATACACTTTCTATTCATTGATTTGTATTTGTAACTTTTGTTATTCAAGTTTGTATACTTTTATGTTATGATTTGTATACTTTGTATTCATTTGTTTGTAATACAAGTTTACCAATCTGTATTGTAAGTAGTGATATTCTGTACGTGTAGTATGCTTTGTACTGTTTGTAATGTTTGTTTGTAATGTTTGTTTGCAATGTTTGTAATGTTTGTTATTTTGTAATGTTTGTAATGTTTGTTGGTTTCTTTTCCACTGTTTGTAATGTTTGTTATTTTTGTCCACATTTTTGTCAACCATGTTTGTAATGTTTTTTGCATCACAAATCAATACATATAAAGTATACAAATTATTAGTACTTACAATACAAAGCGAAACATACTAAGAATACAAGCAAAACATACTAAGAATACAAACTGTCAAAGAAAAACATACTAAGAATACAAACTGTCAAAGAAAAACATACTAAGAATACAAACTGTCAAAGAAAAACATACTAAGAGCACAAACTGTCAAAGAAAAACATACTAAGAGTACAAACTGTCAAAGAAAAACATACAAACCATACTGACATTTTGTACAAAAATACTAACAATACAAACTAATGTTACAAAACATACAAACTATACAAATCACTGTTCTTCCTTCAGACGATGTCTCTCCACCGCCGCCGCCGCTGCCGCCGCCGCCGACTCTCTCTACAGCCGTCGTTACCTCTGTTTTCCCGGCAACAGATCTACTTTATCTCTCTTCCACCGCCTCCGTCGCGATCGTCTTTCCCTCTCTCCATCGTCGCCGACGCGGTTGAGATCTCCTCGCCGTCGCCCCCCTCTCTTCCACCGTCGACGTCCTTCTCTCCCCGCTGCTGCTTTTCTCTCTCTCTCCTATGGCCTGCAATGGCGACGCAGAAGAGGATGACTGGAGGAAAAATCGCGATCTCCTTTTCCTCTCTCCACTGTCGTCGGCGCCGTCGAGATCGTCGACTTTCTCTCTCTCATCCGTCGGCGTTGCAATCTGTGTTTCCTCCGCCATGGCGCTCTCTCTCTCTCTACATCACAAAAAAGGGAAAGTAAGGAGACGTGTTGCAGAGGAAAAAAAATTCAATAATAAATAAAACAAAATTAAAAAATAGGAGTTAATAAATTATTGATAATACCAAAACTACCCTTCTTATTTAATAATAATTGATTGAGTTATCTGGACCATCAGATCAATCCAAGGGCTGAGGGGGGCTTAGTCAAGTGACTAAGGACCCCCCCTTAGTCACCAGATCCGGACTCACCATAAGGTTACTGACCTGATCCATTCCCGGAATCACGTGCTTACTCCACATTTATCTTGATTTGGTAATCCGTTAAATAATTCAATTATATAAGTTTATTTTATTAGTTCATTGTTTCCGCCAAAAAATAGAAAACTTACCATGATTAAAACTTCCAAAATCACTCTATCGTTGCTAATCCCACGTTTCCCTAATTAACCCACGTCCTAATTTACTTGTGTTTTTATTTCCCTAATTAACCCACATCCAAACCCACGTCCTAATTAGCCATTACATTCCCTAATTACTAATCTTTTGCACAAAACAAGATAATGAATGGAGGAATTAGTGGACGGTTTTCTTTATTAATTGACTTAATAAATCATCCTCAATTAATTAAATAATCAATCATTCAAAAAATGATTTTGAAAAAAAAAACTGAGTTTCAGACCCGTCCGCCGCCGGATCTCGGACCGCATCCGCCGGAGGAATTCGGACCCCGTCCGCACAGGGTGAGCGGACCCCGTCCGCGTCCGCCGATCGGACCACGTCCGCCTCCGGCGAGCGGACCCCGTCCGATGCCGGTGAGCGGACGCCAAAAAAAAAAAGTTTAGCTTCTCGGCAAGCTACTTCCTCGACGGCGACGACGACAACACCCGCGGCGAGCTCTTCCTCTTCAACGCCGGCGACTTTGTGAGGGGAGGGAGTGAGGTCGGACGAATGGAGGGGTCGACGGGACCAGATCGGAGGAATGGAGGGGTCGTCGGCGATAGGATGTTGTGGAAGGAGGAAGGAAGGTCGGCGGCGGCGGTGGGTTAGATAGGTTTAGGATTAGTTGGAAGAAGGGCAAAATCGTCTTATATTTTAAAACTATGGGCGGCAAATAGTAAATATTAGGGCGACAAATAGCGATTCATTTGTTGTAGACCCATTTATATATACCGAGACAAAAAGAAAACAAGTATTGACAGAAACAGACAAAGAAGGAGCAGAACAGAACAGAACCCCAAAACGCTATGTACCCTTCTTTCTTATCTCTAATTAAAAACCTTGACCATCCCTAATAAGTATGATTTATACATTACATAATTATATATAATTAGAGGTGGCAATTGGATCAGATTCGTGGATTCGTGGATTGGATTCGTGGATCCATGGATCAAATGGATTGGATCCAATGGATTGGTGGATTCATGGATTGGATCCAATGGATTGGTGGATTGATCCATGAATCCAAATAACATCCAAGGCTTGGACCAAAATGTAAATTTTGAAAAGTTTAGGTACTAAAATGTCATAATGAAAATTTTTAGGTACCAAAATGTAATTTTCCAATGATATTTTTCGTATAGAAATATAAATTTTAGGTACCAAAATGTAAAATATAAAAAATATAGGTACCAAATCATAATTTGCCATTTGGATCCATGGATTGATCCATGAATCCACCAATCCAATTGAATTTGGATCAAATGGATTGGATTTAAATGGATTGGATTAAGTGGATAATTTGGTGGATGGATTGAATTGGATTCATGGATTTGGATCCTAGTTGCCACCTCTATATATAATAACTAGCAATTGGGCCCGGCCCGTTGGCCGGGGCGCTGCTGGTGTTATTCATGTACATAAAATTTATTAACTTAAATTACTACTCAACCATTTTGTCGCTGTCATAAAATTAAACACCAAAATGAACTGCAGTCATCATAAACTCACAAATTCAAGTTGTTATTGTTGTTATAAACACACTCAACTAAGCTGCTATGCTATTGTTATGTACACACAAATTCAAGTTAATTTCAACCTGAAATTCCAATTGTCCATGGAGAAGGATAACCAAAACATGAAAGCTGAAACTATTTAGTATTTACAATGTAAGTCTGAATTTTCTGAAAACCAACCATTTGCAAAGTACTAAAAATACAGTTCATAAAGTGGACCTTAGCTCCAGCAATACTACTCTTCTTTCTTAGTGTAAGAGTCGATCAAATGTTTGATTTTCTTCCTCTTTACGGTGCTCCTTTCAAGACTTGGATTAGTATTGCAGGGTTCCTCAAAGTTTGCAGCAACCAAATTGGTTTACTCTTTGAAACAACTTGATTTCATATACTTTTTGTTCTCTCAAGCTGGATAGGAAACCAAAAGAAGAGTGATTATGGCCCAAATATCCGACCTCTATAAATAACACATAGAAAGCAATATAAGAACCAACAAAAATTAGAGCCAGAATACCATGACAGATTCTTTTTGAATTGATTATGACTATAGCCTAACTTTGAATCAATCAAAACCAAATGCAAATGTTCAACCATATTCAAGAAACCTTAAATTGATTAAATTGGCAAACTCACATTTCACTTTAAGTTCAACCTGGAAGGCTAATATCATACCATAAGCATCTGACTTCACATATTTTAGCTGGTGTTTTTGTTCACATTACCCGTAAGAATGGACATAAGTGATCCATATAATAGACATACAAATCAAGTATCGGATGAGGATTTCCATTACACTTTCGAAGCACATGAGGTCGCATAATAGTACTCCCTTTCACACGAATCAAAAAATTGAACCAAATGCTATATGGATTGCAACTTACCATGATACTTATGAGAAAGTGGCAGATGGGGATAATGATATAGCAACAATGTTTTCTTTTGGATGAAATGAAACTGGAGGGAGAGATTAGGGATCAGAATGAACATCAAAATTCATTGTCATCTTCATCCTAGCCTAAGTGGATAGTACACTTGAAAATCCAACAGAGTTTCTGTGATTCTCACAATACATATATACACAAATTTGAGTTCTAACACGTTAGCCATATATGCCTACAGCCTTTTGAAAATTGAAAAGGAAATTCACAAAGAGATAAATACAAACCTCCAACTTGAACTCCAAGCAAGGAACTCATCCTGACCGAAGTAGTTAGCCAACGACTCCTTGGACATTTGGGGGAAGGTAGGAGAGGGTATCGTATTTCTTCAATCCCAGTGGTGCCACACCTATACCATTTAGGCATTTACCCACCACGTTCAATCAACCAACACATCTAATTAATTCAATAAAATGAAGAGAGAAGAGGGGGGAAATTAAGTGAAGAAGAAAGGAACCTTCATGCACTGCACTCAGCCACCGTTGCTTGCAATGGATGTAATGTGTTGAACTTCTAGGTGGCGGGGAAGGCATTTTAGCAACTTTTAATAGGGATCTGGATGGCGAGCTTTTAACAGGGGATATGGCTTCGGTTAAGCACTATCCAAGATTTGTAGATGATGCTTAGAGAGACAAACAACGACAGAGAGAGAGGAGGGTTATCCTGGATTGTTTGAGTAAAGGACGACGCTGGAGAGAAACTGCTGAGCAGTATAGATGGCAAGTGCGAGAGAGAGGCTGAGGGGTTTCTTGCATGATTTTTTGGCGACAAAACACAAAGGCTGGACGGCGAGAGAAAGGTCTTTCTCAAAGCTCTTCGCATAAAGAACATTGCCGGTGAGAACCCAAATAAACCCCAACCCATTCAAGTCAATTCTACAGAAACCCGGAAGCGGCCGCAGGAGATGAAAAGCTCGAGGAAGTAGTTAAGGACGACTATTGAGATAGAAATGGGGAGTGGGAAAAGAGACAGAAAAACTCCCGCCAATTGAATTTCTTGCAAGAGTTTTCGGTGACAAAATTAAATTCCGGTAGGGATTGGAAGACTGAGTGTTTGGGTAGACTCGAGGAGCTCTGGGCGACAAAATATACAGGCTGGCTTGAGAGGAAGGTCTTTAATTCTCGATAGGGATTGGGACAATGAATGTATTGGAATGGCTGCAAGAGCTATGGACGAAGAAACACAAAGGCGGCGAGATGAATGTCTTCGGTTCCGGTAGGGATTGGAAAACGGAATATCTCGGGACGACGACAGAGAAGGGTTCGATTTCCTGTGGGAGATTGGAAGTTACAAATGCGGAAAAGAAAAGGCTTAGTGAATTGACGGAAAACACCCTCCGCAATGTGCGGTGGTTACGGTAGAGGCTGACGTGGCAAAACCTCTATTTTGACATTGCCTTATAGTATTTTGTAGATTAACACCTCCCACACCCTAGTCCACCAGGCTAAACCCACAGCACCACCAAAACAAGAGAAACCCAAAAACCAAACCGACCACCGAGAAGGCGACCGCAATCGAATCCACCACCATCTCTGGAGTACTGGAGGCCACCTAACACAAGACGTCCTTGAGTAGCTTGTACCTCCGAGTTGAAGGCTTCGGAGACGGCAGTCCCCCGTGATTCCTCCCCGCCGCCGGCGACGACGGTCCCCTGATCTCGTCATCCAACTGCTGCTGCTGCTGCTTGATCTTCAACCCGGAGTACTGGGACCGTTTATTAGAACTGCCGGCGCCGCCGGCCTCTTGTGATTTCCTCGACGACGTCGCATTCCGCATCTCCTCGCTCTGGCACCAATCGCACTGCTCAACTGGCTCCGCCAGCTGGTGGTTGTAGTAGTTGCTGCAGTACCTGATAATTAATAATACAATTTACAATTAAGGCCCACCCAAATTAATTAATTAACCCCCTCATCAAATTAATATCAGAATTCGGAAACAAACGTACGAGTGCTGGAAACGGTGGCGGCATTTGTTGCAGCGGAAGAGCTTCTCAGAGAAACCCACATCGCCGCACATGCAGCATACCACTACTCCTGCGGTCTGCTGACTATGACGATCATCCGCCATTATCGACTTCTTCCAAAAGAAATTAAGGAGATAGACACGTACGGAGAAAGGGAGAGAAACAGACAGAAAACAGAGGAGGAAGAGAAGGGAGAGAGAGAGAGAGAGAGAGAGTAGCCGGGCAAGAAGCAGGGGAACCCCCAAAGGGTGTCACTGACTTTATATATTAGCTGAATTTATTTTCCTCAATGCTTATTTTTCTAAAGATTTCTATGAGTCGGTTTGTTTGTAAACCCCACTACGGAAATGCTTTTTATTAACTGATGATCAACTGATGATCCAAATTTTAGGAAACCCCGAAAAACAAATCAAGGAAAATATTAATTGAAAAGGGAACACAGGCGGACCACAGGTTGCTTGCAGTCGTTTTCAGTTGGGGTGGGGAGGGGGAGCCCAATGAATAATTCTAAAGTAGTTTAGGCCTCCTCCACTCCTCTCTCCCTATCCACCTTGAAAAATTAATTAGATGGGAAAATAACAGTTGCATCCTGGCTGTGCCATCTCTTTTACCGAGAGTACCTTTGTACTCGGCTTAATTGCAAGTTTGGTCACTCGAATTACTATAAAATTTCATGTTTGCCACTCGAATTAATTTATTCCATTTATAGTCACTCGAATTAGTTGAACAGTCCAAGTTCGGTCACTCTCCGTTAACCTCCGTTAGACTCCGTTAATGACGACCGTTAAGTGATGACGTGGCTAACAGAAAATCACAGTCAGCATAATTTAACACTAAAAAACGACGACCCGACCCGCCACGTCATATTTACCCGCCATATCAGCCCTTCTTGCCCAACCCGCGAACCAACCCAATTAATTGACCCAAACCCAAACCCGAGACCCAACCCCAAAAATAAATCACCGTCGATGAGAAAACAATCACCGCGATTATCCCCACCACTGCAGCATTCGACATCCCCTTCTTCCCTCCTGATCTCAAGCACACCTCCATAGGCCGACAACACAACCCCTCCGGTGAGTTCCCCTGAAACGAACTAACGGGGAAACCGGAGAACGATGGAGAAACTGGTCACATCTGGTTCGATCCCTCTCTGGCGCATTTTGTCGAACACCTGCTCGGCCAAAACAATCGTCTTCTCAAACTTATGCTCTGGCTGCAATCTAGCTCTCCTGCATATCCCATCTAACAAGACGTTGTAAGTAACGACATTGGGCTTGATTCCCTTCTCATCCATCTCTCTCAAAAACCTCTCCGCCATGTCCAATCTCCCCAGCTTGCACCATCCGCAGATTAGAACAGTGTACATGAATTTCCTCTTGTTGAAAACCTCGACAGCCACTTTCACCCCTAGCTTTTGGTCAAACCCTTCTCTGTCCCTGACGTTTGCAGACAGGAGGGCGTGTTATTTCAATACAGGGGCTATGGTGATAGATCTGGGTCGGTGGAGGGAAGGGGATTATACGCGCAAAATCGAGGAGTGGATGGAGCTGCAGAAGCGGGTTAGGATCTACGAATTGGGTTCTCTGCCGCCGTTTCTGTTGGTGTTCGCCGGGGTGATTGTGCCAGTGAACCACCGGTGGAATCAGCACGGCCTGGGAGGGGACAATTTCAGGGGATGGTGGAGGAGCATCTGCGAGAGCAGTTCGGCGTCGGCGGATGATTCGAGTGTGGGGAGCTCGGAGGTGACTGCGGATGCGGAGAAGTTGCGACGGCGGAGGAGGAAGGTAGTGGTGGCGAGGGCTCGATCTCTGTTTATTTTTCAGGGGGTTGTGTCTCGGTTTTGGGTTTGGGTCAATTAATTGGGTTGGTTCGCGGGTTGGGCAAGAAGGGCTGACATGGCGGGTAAATATGACGTGGCGGGTCGGGTCGTCATTTTTTAGTGTTAAATTATGCTGACTGTGATTTTCTGTTAGCCACGTCATCACTTAACGGTCGTCATTAACGGAGTCTAACGGAAGTTAACGGAGAGTGACCGAACTTGGACTATTCAACTAATTCGAGTGACTATAAATGGAATAAATTAATTCGAGTGGCAAACATGAAATTTTATAGCAATTCGAGTGACCAAACTTGCAATTAAGCCCTTTGTACTCTTTTCTACCGTGTATTTTTTAAGAGACGTTATCATCTCATTACATTAATATGGCCGAGAACTATAGTGGCCCCTTATCAAAATTGAATAGCCAGGAATCACCGAAGAGGATTATGCCCATCATAGTTAGGATTAGCCCAACTCATCCAGGTTTAGAACCAGAGCCAGTCATGGGCCTGTGCTGCAGGCTTGCCAGTATAGGGCCTCACACTTTGGAGGCCTCCATCAAATACAAGAAGGCTATGTACTACTTCTGAATAATGGTTGATACTACGGTACCGTGGTAAACAGTACGGAACCGGTGACGCTTTCTTTGATTCGTACACGTGGCCCATTAGGGGGCCCAACCGACCTCTCCCAAACTAACGGTGAACACCCGTCGCTATATTTCTCATTCAGTTTTTCATTAATTAAAATAAATTAATGCAACTTATATTAGTTTTGTTTTCCGGCAGAATCTGGAAACAGAAATAGGGATCGACCAAACGAACCAAAAACCAGCGTCCGGCGATCTCTCGAAAATCAATCCCGGTGACTTAGCCTTCGTCCTCTCGCACTGCCCAAATGACGAGTATCATGCCCGATATCGACCCTTCGCGCCAACAGCTCCTCCTTCCGCAGCTCCCATCTCCCCCATGCTCTAGCCAAATTGGGGGATTGCAAGCGCGCTGCCTCTATACGCTGCGAGGCCCTGCATACAATCACCGGTCGCTCTCTCTCCGAGCGTAATCAAAGGATTCGATTACGATTGAAGCTTAGGTCAGTGCTGCGAGATGCCCGTCGGATACGCCCAGATCTCCGTCGGAATCGTTGATCCCTTCCCTTGTTGCTCGATGGCAGTGAATACTCTGTCCCCATGGCCACCACCGACGGCTGCTTGGTCTCCGAAGGTGTTCAGGTTGTGTTGGATTTCCTCCAGTCTGATTTCCCTGGGATGGTGCTTTTTCCCCATTACGAACCCTCAACCTAAAACTTTGTTTACTTGGGAGTTCAATGTTGCTTTCTTATAGTCCGGGTAGGGTATGCATGACAATGGTGATTGTTTTGGATCAGTTTGTGTTTTCTCTGCAAATAATGGTGTTATAATATTATTGAATAAAGATCAAATAAAGTACACGACAAAAGTTTAACAGTAGCAGCCTGCAGATTCTTTCAATTAAGTGCCTTCCAAGTACATTATGATAGTTCACGTATACTATCGATTTCTTTTGCACATGGTTTGGAGTGGTATCGATAAACTTGGGGAAATATCTAAGCTAAATGCTAACAGTGGTTGATGTGAGCCTCATCAGACCTTCAACTTCATTTTGTATTATGGATTTTGAGAGTAACAGTAACATTCATGAACAAAAAGCAGCATCTACTTTCAGTTGTCTTTGATCTTTTTGTCCTGGCTTTATATCAGTCATGAGAATATGTCCTTATCCTGGATTTATTGTAAAACTTTTCAAGCTTCTGTAGGCTTCCTGACTGACTATCTACTCTTTCTACAACCACCTAGCTGCTTCCTCTGTTGCTTTTCCCTTTGAGTTTCTTCCTTTGTTGCTTTTCTACTCGTCTTCTAATGGAGCTAAGCTAGCCCACTCAGCTCTACATTCAGCCACCCACTGCAGTTACAGAAGCACCAACAAAATTATGACAGCAGGAAAAATAAAGTGCAGCAGCATAAGTAGAATCCAACAACATCAGGAAGAAAGTGCACTCGCACTAAAACAAAAGATCCATAATATATTTGACCTAAAAGAGAGATAGATACAAATAACTGAACGACAAAGTGATCTTGTGGCTCAAGAAACTGTAAATACACGAACACAAGCAACAAACATTTAAATATGAATTCGATAAACATAGCCCCCAAGATAAACTCAAAATGCTGATCACGTTACAATGTTGGAATCAATTGGGGAAAGAAGCCAACACAAGCTACCTGTATCACAATCATAGAACAACCCTATCATTCTGCATAACCAGAAACTAAGGAGACCCTAAATGTGAATTGAACCCTACGCCTTCAATGATGGATGTACGGATGCAGAATTCGCCAAACCCGATCGTGATAACATACAAGGAGATAGAACATTGGACTGGGCAATACGACCCCATCAAGCAAACAGCGTCAAACGAACATATAAAAAGACGCAAAAACGGAGATCGAATCGAGGACCTCGATTAAGGGCAAATTCAGAGGTAGATGAGATTTCGATGATGACGGAGCAGGTGACAAAATTTAGTGCAGGTGAATCGGGTAGGCTGTATCAGAAATTGCATCGGTGGCGACACTTTTCGATTATGACAGAGGTCGCCGCAACAGATTCCTTCGCATAAACAGATTCCTTCGCCTCTGATATGAATTCGAAGGGTAAGGTTGACCTTGGACCCTGGAGATGGGATCGACCACGAACAAGTGAACGTAGTGATTCTGGAGCGACCGTTGATGAAGGAGGGCGTCTCTCCCTTCTCTCACTTGGTACCGTTTGGTAATTGCTGTGTTGCTTTTTGATGATGACAGGGGCCCGCGAAGACACAGATTCCTTCACCTCTGAACAAGGAGATTGCGAAACTGTGATTTTGGAGAGACCGCCGGAGAAGGAGATTTTGAAACTGCGTTTGGGTTCCTTTCGCCGTCGACCTCTGTTTTTATGTTTTCTTAATCTAAAAAACAAACTAATTTAATCTACACAATAAATAAAAGCCAAATGAGAAAACTTGAAGCCCCATTTCAAATTTCCTGCATCCAGAGTGAAAGTAGGAAGGACATTTTAGTCTTCACAATTACTCTTTTTTTATTCATTAAAAAGACACTTACTAGGATTTGAACCTTGATCACTTTAAAGAAAAGCAAAGATCATAACCAATCACACTAAGTACATTTGTTGTATCTTTTTAAATTAAAAACATATAATCGCAGAGAGGAAAAAACTCTTCCCCCATTTCAAATTCCCTGCTCCAGGAGCGTTTGTAGGAAGGGTAGAATAGGGAGTGTCAATTTTTTTCTTTTTCCTTTGTGGAACGGGCCAACTTACCATACACATGCGGATTTAAACGAGTCCAGGAGTGTCAATTTTTTTCTTTAAGTCCTTTTATTTCTCCGTGGTGGTAAAATATATATGAAAAGGCAAAAACAATACTCCTTTTTATTTCTAAAAAGGAAAAAATTTAAGAATAAACAAATGCATGGATTTTAATGGGCTAACTGCTAATCATAAAATAAAAGAGTTGAATGGATCTGACCTACACGGGATTTGCCCATCAAGTAAAACAAATGAACATCATGGGTTCACCATTCTAAAACAAGCTATTTTCTCTAGCATAATATATATTATGCTATTATTTTATATCTTAGTGGTTAAAATATAATGTATTTTAAAGTTATTCAATGGTTCAACCTCGACCAACCCAATTAGTCCAATTTTTATCATTTCAAATATATATTATGTAATTATTTGATATCATAATGATTAAATTATAGTGTATATTATAGGGAATCATTTGGTTTTTGTTAGTAAAAAACTAAACAGAAAGATCTATTTGGTTATTTTTAACATTAAAACGACCCTAAACATTTTCAGTTTCATTTCGAAATTCTATAGTTTTATTCCCGAATCAGTGATGTGCAAATGGCGAGTTGCAGTCATCTCTTTTCTTTCATTATTTTTTATTTTCAAATAGAAAGTTTAAAATTAAAGAATAATTAGAGTTTGACATGGGTCGGTCAAACAGGCTGAATTTCAAGTTTTGGCCCATTTTGATCAAGTCTAATTTATAATCACACGGTTCCCTGATACCCGATAAAAATCTCAATCCAAATCAGTTTGGGAGGTGAGTACGTGTTTACCACCATTTTTTAGGGATACAAGAACGGTGGTTCCTATCCCAAATCGTGTTGTTTGTTCTTGATTTCTTTAGATTTTATCATGACTTGGTAAAAAAACCAGAAAGCACAATGATGACAAGATGAAAGTTTTATAAAGCAAATTAATCAGCCAACGGGCCGAGTAAAAGCTAGCAACGATTGTGAGATGCTCATTTCCCGAAAACAAGCGGGATAGGCGATTTTTTATTCGATTTTCTTGAATTTGGTTTCTATGAAACTTACTCCAACTCATCATATTACCAGAAACATTATTGTTTCACAAGGTAACATGTACTTGATTTTGGTTCATAAGGCTGGTTTTTGATTCGTTGCATCATTCATGTCTCTTTCCTACTAAAATTCACTATTTTTATCACGTGTTTCCCAAAAAAAAAACTATATAACAATAAGCTATACACCAGTGTCCATGAAACCGTACCGTACAGACGGTTCAACCACGAAATACCAGTATCGGAGGCTAAACCGGTAGGCGGTATTTAATGGTATAACAGTTGAACTACGACTAAACCACAGTTTTACCATAAAATACCCTAACACTGACTTTTCCGGTACGATTTCATGGACCATGCTATACACCCCATTACATTATCAAATTTCATATCTCATCTTCCTCCGGCCAAATGGCCGGGGCTCACGCTAGTATTTAGTTAATAGAAAGATAAAACAGTGTGGCGTTTGGGTTAGACGGAGAAGGGTCTCCGTTAGTGTGAGAGAGGCGGGTTGGTTTCAATATTCTTGGGCTTTGGGCTTGGGTCAATCAAATCCAGCCATGCCACATCAGCTCCACGTGGCTCAATCATATTTCACATCGATGCCGCAGTTTTACTGCGCCA